TTCCACCTTAAGCAAACCCGTGAGCCATGGGAAAAGAAAAAAGGGAAAAGCTTGGTTTAGCTTGGAAATTCCTTAAGGGTTTCTACCTTTGTGTTCTTTAGCTTCCAAAGGTAAGTATAAGTATAAGAGAATTGATGTAATGACCCAATCAACTATTGATACTATCCAATATAATCCATCAGGTCTTACAATTTGAAAATGTGTCAATAAGGGTTAACAAGTGTTAACCTATACTCAACATTCCTCTTATGCTTTGTCTGGTCTATTTAAACTTCATAGTTTTAAAATGCATCAATAGGGCTCCTATGCTTTGTCAATATGGGATTTACCTAAAGGTGTTACAATTGAATTAATAATGTCCACTTTGGCCCATTTAGCCTTACAATTTTAAAATGCATCAATAAGAGTTAATAGGTATGGACTTGTATACCTAGCATCTTTTTTTATGTTTTGTCAACGTGGGATTTGCCTAAAAGTGTCACAATTGAAATTTTATGAGATTCATTCTCCTTTTGAAGACTCATGTGTTTAGTTGTTTCTTAATTTCATATATTTGGTGTAATTTTTGCTTGATCTATCATTCTTCCTTCATGATTTAGTGGATCTTATCATGAATTCATGAGAAATTGGAAGTTGGAAGCCATGAATTGTAATAAGGGTTTTAGCAAAACAAAATATAGAAATGAATTAATTAACTTGGTTCAAGTCAAGAGTGCATTTATGTAATTTATAGCAATTAATTATTTTCTGAGTCAATGTCTTGGGAATGGTTTTAATTGCACATTTAATAAATTAAAGTCAACTTTTATTTCGTTTATAAAAATTAGTTATTAGAATGTACAATAAATGTAAGAGAACATGTTAGAAAAATTTTTTAATAAATAAAATATATAGATTAAGATTAGTGTTTATTAGTTGGACGTGCAAAAACATTAGGTAGAAAAACATTTAAAATTATATTATTTTAATAAACTATCATAAGAAAAAAATAAAATAATTTCATTCATTCTTTTAAAATTAAAATGTTTTAGTTTTGAATGAGACTTTATTACAACAACATAGTTTTGTGGTATTTTTTGCATAATTTTTTACAATACATGTTGATATCCTCAATCCAATATAAATTAGTTAATTTTTAAATAAAATAACAAAAATTAAATTAATTACCTTTAAACTCAAATTATAAATCATACTACTAAACTAAATTAAGTTTTTATTTCTAAGAATTTAAATTTTTATTTAATAAAATCACAAATAATAATGATTGGATAAGATTCAAAATTTTAAATATTTAAACATTAGAAAATGATACACTTAACCTTCTCAACCAACACCCCATTTTACACACCTATGGTTCAAAAGTTAAAATACAATATTTTCCCATTAAAGGCTTATCCATCGTCTGTTCATAGCAAACTTATTGAATGTAATTCCTGACATTAAATTTCTCTAGATTTCTTTCAATTTCCTTGTTTCCCCTCTTTCTCACTCTTTGTCCGCCCATCTCCTTCCATATCTCCTCTTGCGAGTTCTCCACTATGCAAATCTGGGCAGCCCTCCTCTTCACATAGCATTGGTTTTTTGATTTTTCAACTTTCTTCCTTTTTTCCCTCCTCCTCCTCCTTTCTTTTTCTTCTTCTTTCCCTCTCTTCCCCTCTTCTTCCTTCTCTTCCCCCCTCCTTGATCTATTGAAGGAGAACCCAAATCTAGGTTCTTCAAGAGAACTCATGGGTTCTCAAGGAGAACCTAGATCTGGGTTTTCTTACAGAACCCATGGGTTCTTCTCAAGGAAAACCCAGATCTGGGTCCTCAAACTTGGAGGATAATAGAGGAGAGAGAAAGAAAAAAAAAAGGAGGAAAGAGGAAGAAGACAATGAATTTTTATAAATTTCTATTAGAATTTTTACAAATCCGATAATATAGTGTATTGTTTAGTTGCTAAGAAAATTGAAAATAGAAAGAAATTTCCTTGGTAAAATATGTTTGATTCCAAAAAAATCTAAAGATAACAAGAGAAATTTTCATTATTGTTGAAAATTATATATAAACTGGAGAAGAAGATAAATCGGAGAAAAAGATGAACATGAAAGAAGATAAATATGGAAGAAGATACACCGGAGAAGAAGATCAAGAAGGAAGGAGATGGCACAATTTTTCACATTCTTTATTACTTATTTAATAATTACCTTTTAACAATTCATTTACCATTGCCGGTTTCACTTCATATCTTAAATTCATAGGTGATGTGGCAAAATAAATAGGAGAGTGGTAAAGAACAAGTGCTGGAGTCAGTGCCCTTAGCACTGCTCTTTTTGTTTAATAATTACTGTAATTAATACGTTTGACAACGGAAAGAGCAGTGCTAGCTGCAATTGCTTTAGCACTCTCCTTTGGAAACTCACCCCCGCATTTTGCCACGTAACCTTGACTATCGAACCTCTTATCGGAAACGGATAATAACAGGTAACTCAATAAAGGTTAAATGCTAATTTTGGTCCCTCAACTTTATAGAGTTGCACATTTTTGGTCCCTCAACAAATTTTTGCACTTTTTTGATCCCTAACTCTAAAAACTGCACAATTTTAATCCTTCCGTCAATTAAGTGACACTTGGCAGTTAAATATTCCAGAATGACACTTTTTAATGACGTGGCAATGACAACTCATACAATTAGCTTACGTGAAGTATGCCAAGTCAGACTTAATTGTTCTTTTTAATCTTTTTCAATTCTTTAAATATAAAATTACTAAAATGTCCTTAATCTATTCTTTTTTCCATCGTTCTCCTCTATGCTCTCTTTGTTCTCCTTCCCACCACCACTGTTTTCAACCATTTTTCCTTTGGTTGTGACTGTTTCTCTTCTCCCCTCCCCTCATCCCCTTCTTGGCCATGACTGGGTTTGTGAGGAACCTAGAGATGATCTGGGTTCGTCGCGAACCCAGTTCTGGGTTCGTCATGAATTCAGAAGGGTTCGTCACGAACCCAAATGATTTGGGTTTGCCTCTTTTATCCTCTTTCGTTCAGTACTCCACAATTAAAAGCAACATAAAATTTTAGAAGAAATGCCATTGTTTCCTCCATAAATCTACTTTACCTTATTTCTATCCTCTACGAAAAGCATGTGTGAATCACCATGAATGAGAGAGTTAACATACATCTTCCTACAAAAACAAGGAATTAATAATGAACATTGTGGTGAATCTGAAGGTTTGAAAAGCGGTAAGAAAACAAACCTAAATGAATTTGCCAGTAAGAGGAGATGTGCTAGGGGCAACATAGCTCTCAAATTCTCAAGCTACATACTGTTGTACTCCTTCAGCTAATGTAGATGACGACAACCTGGAAAACAGTAAAATTTGACCAATCACATGACACAATTTAGGGGTTTGTGAAGAAAATATGAAGTTCCAAACATCAAGATGACAAATCACGTTTACCTGAGATATTGTCCTGCTTCAAATTGGACTCTAACATAAATATATTCAACAAATTTTACATAATCTATGGCAATAAAGAAATGGGCTCGCGATGAACCCAGAAGAGATTTGGGTTCGTGCCGAACCCAAAGCAGACCTGGGTTCGCGTCGAACCCAGAGCAGACCTGAGTTCGTGACGAACCCAATCATGGCCAAGCTGATGAGGGGGAAGGGGGGGAAAAATGGCTGGAAATGGTGGACGAACCCAAATCGTCTCTAGGTTCCTCATGAACCCAGTCATGGCCAAGCTGATGAGGGGGAAGGGGAGGAAAAATGGCTGGAAATGGTGGTGGTGGCAAGATGAACAGAGAAAGCACAAAGGAGAACCATGGCAAGAATAATAAATTAAGGGCATTTTAGTAATTTAATATTTAAAGAATTGAAAGAAAATAAAAAAAAAACAATTTAGTCTGACTTGGCATACTCCACGTAAACTAATTGTATGAGTTGTCATTGCCACATCATTAAAAAGTACCATTCTGGAATATTTAACTGCCAGGTGTCACTTAACTGACAGAATGATTAAAATTGTTACTATCTGTCTTTTCACTTACATTTTGTCATTTTGTCGTAGTCATACATTTTAGGCTTTACCAATGCTATTTTAAAAGTTATTGGCTAATTTTTTTTATTATTTAACTCCATTTTATTTTCTTCCCCTTATTTTCTCTGCAATTTCTGTTCACCCTGGATTATTGTAGAGTATCAAAAGATCAG